TACCACGATTGTTTATTAGGAAAAATTGAAAAAACAACAAAGTCTAACCGGTAAGTTATAGCACTATTTCGGAGATCACCACATCTCCTCATCAGACTTCTTTTTTCTAGACTTCAGCAGGGATCAAACCTGCGTAATCAATGTTTAAAGTCAGAAGCGTTAACCACTGAGCTATGTACATTCCGTAAACTCTTGTTGCTAATTCATTTTCCTTATTCAACCAACAACTATCAAGTGCAGCTGATTTGCCGCTATTTAAACTCGACAGCGTGGTTGTTGTTGTCAATTCTATACATACATTTGCTTATTTGCTTTTTTGTATAGTTTCAGGCAGGCTCTTCCTAAACTATGTATTTGTCAATGTTATTGTGGCTTATTAAAATTTTATTTTTAATATTTTTTATTGAGCTTTGTACCACGATTCTTTATTAGGAAAAATTGAAAAAACAACAAAGTCTAAGCGGTAGAAGTTATAGCACTAGTTCGGAGATCACCACATCTCCTCATCAGACTTCTTTTTTCTAGACTTCAGCAGGGATCGAACCTGCGTAATCAATGTTCAAAGTCAGAAGCGTTAACCACTGAGCTATGTACATTCCGTAAACTCCTGTTGCTAATTCATTTTCCTTATTCAACCAACTACAATCAAGTGCAGCTGATTTGCCGCTATTTAAACTCGATAGCGTGGTTGTTGTCGTCAATTCTATACATACATTTGCTTATTTGCTTTTTTGTATAGTTTCAGGCAGGCTCTTCCTAAACTATGTATTTGTCAATGTTATTGTGGCTTATTAAAATTTTATTTTTAATATTTTTTATTGAGCTTTGTACCACGATTGTTTATTAGGAAAAATTGAAAAAACAACAAAGTCTAAGCGGTAGAAGTTATAGCACTATTTCGGAGATCAACACATCTCCTCATCAGACTTCTTTTTTCTAGACTTCAGCAGGGATCGAACCTACGTAATCAATGTTCGAAGTCAGAAGCGTTAACCACTGAGCTATGTACATTCCGTAAACTCTTGTTGCTAATTAATTTTCTGTAAAAAAAAAAATAAAAAAAAAAATATTAAAAATAAAATTTTAATAAGCCACAATAACATTGACAAATATGACTTATTAACTAACTTGTGAGAAAAATTTATAATATGAATGAGAAAATTAGATTAATGGACTGTATCTGATATGGAGATGATTATTAAACACTGAGT